AAAAAAAAAAAAAGACAAACCAAGCCTTATATAATTCTTTATTCTAGGGTTTCTGCCAGTGTGGGGGATGGAGGCACAATATTATCAACTTTCAGGAATAATTTCTATTGAATGTGGCAACAGATAGGCATGGTAAATTTTGTGCCATAAATAGTCAAATAGCTCTGGGTATCAAGTCATGAGTGAGTATAGCTATCATTTAAGCAAATGCAGAGTCCTTCAGGAATAGGTTATGTAACTACTTGTGACATACATAATGTCATAATTCAACAGCAATTTTAGAAATCAGTTCAAGTTTTGAATATTTTATATTGTTATGCCTTAGGTTTTCTGGGCCTAGGGAGATGTTGCTGTTCAAAAGATATTGAGGAATCCAGGCTTATGTGGAACACAAAAGATGAAGATCAGATATTCCCAAATTAACTATTAGGATGTTTAGAGAATCATTACAGCTAGAAAATCTAACTCTAATCACTTTTAAAAATTGGTCATCTTTTAAACTATCTAGTTATTTTTTTGAAAACAGTTTAAGATTTGGTATAAACAGAACATTTCTACTCATTTATAAATGGGGTTCTCATAAATCTTTATAGCTTCCACGCTATGACCCAGAATAAGAAATGAACGTGAGGTTGGATAAAGGCTGAACACCTTGCTCTCCCTGTTTCTTACTCTTTAGGTGAAAAATCTTCCTCAGTATTATCTCTGAATAGTTACATGAAATTCCTTCTTACCCCATGCAAAAATATTGGATTGGTGACTAACTTCAATTAAATGAAATAAATTAGTATGTGTAAGGTGTTTAGGATAGCATCTGGCACATGGTACTATATAAGTGCTGATTATCATACTTAATGTTAATTTATTATTTTTATTTCTCAATGCATATTTCTAGATTAGAACACAATTATTAGGGTCATGTGATTTGTCAGGGCCTCTTAGCAAAATGAAATTTACAAAACCTTAGGCTGTTGGCAGAATATGCACAGAAGTCATTACTCTCTTTACATAAAATTTGACCGCTGATGTTACATTTTAAAAATAATTTGTACATTTGATGTATTCATAACTACATATGAGAAAATTTTTAAAGGAAATCTTGTCACTATGAGAATTAATTTAAAATACTTTTTTTAAGTATATAGATTAATGAAGCTGTGTTACAACTTGATGACATCTTGAGTTTCACTTGAAGCTGTAAATCTCATTTGTGAATGAGTTTATGTGGGTACATACGAGTGTATGTAGCTTCTGGCTAGCTTCTGTGTTTGTGACTCTAGAATGCCCTGTGGGCAAACTTGAGACCTTCCTTCATGTTTCACAAATTGTGAGCATTGCTCACATGTTGATAAGATTTTCTGTCCAAAAAAACAAAAGAGAAAATTATTTTTTTCTTAAAATTTTAGTTATTAAAAGGTAAGTTCTCTAGAGGTCTTTAATATATATGTATATACATGTTTCACATACATATGCTTTATATGTATATTTTATACATAGGAATATATCATGTATTGATCCATTTAATCTTATTTTGTCATTATTTGAAGATCATTTTTAGAACTAGTTTTAGTTATGTTAGATAAAACAAAAATAGCCTTTGTACTTCAAAATGGAAGTATTTTGTCAAATATTTTTGGGCTTCAGCATGCTGTTAATGAATTACTCAGGATTTTTAATAATATCTCTAAATATAATGGCATGATTATTAGTTTAATTAGATAAAAGTAGCATGAATGAAAATTGCCTGCTTTGATTTTCAGATTTATCTACAACAACATAATTACTAAAATAGTTCAGAAGCTACCATGTACTAAATAATTGGGGAATATATGGGTAGGAATGCAATTGATTTTAAATCTAGTTAATTAGTAAACAAAAATAATTTCTTCTTCTCAATAGCAAGACCTTTGTTTTCATGTACAATTCATACCTATAGTATTGGTCATAATCTTATTTAGTATAATAGATGATTAATAGGTGATTTTTGGGTAACTGGCCATTTATGATGGCTTTAAAAAGTTAAATAAGACAAATCAGTTAAAAAATTTTTGTTTGCTTTATGTTATTCAATTATCTTAATGACATAGTGAAAGGATCATCACATATTAAGCACTTGATCTGTTATAAAATTGCTAAAAATTACTTCATAGAATAGTTATGTCTTGAATTAGTTAGACCTATTTCTCTTTTCTAACCTTAATAGTTTCCATATTTAAGTAATTCTGCATTTATTTAACAAGTGAATTCTGTGTTTTAATTATCAAGGAATGTAGGTCTATTATATTGTTTCATAAGAACTCTGTCTAGTAAAAACTTACAATAGGGTATTTCCACTGCTGCCATTTCAGCAGCACTAAAGACACACACATACACACACACACACACACACACACAAACGCTCAGTTCATCAGGCCTTTACACTGTCAGTGAACGTGTGTGTGTCTTTGTGTATGTCACACCCTCTAAATTCAGGTGGCTTCAAGCTGTGCCATATAATTCTAGCCTCAATTAAACTTTCCAAGGTCAGCAGTACTGCACCAGGTCAGACATAAATAAGGCAGAGGATAGTCCTAGGGTACAGGAAGGCCATATTTATTCTTTATTCACAGTTCAAGGCTATCAAATGAAACCTAGCAGAGAGAAAAGACAGAGGAAGAAAGGAGGACTCTCAAAAGGTACTTTCCAGCTAAGTGCAACCTTTGTTAAAAAAATGAAATCCATATATGTATAATTCAAGACCCAGGGAATTAGTGGGGTGTGTGTCTCTTTTTTTGTTCCCCTAAGAATGCAACTTTAACCAGAGCTCAGTGGAGAATATGTTTGTATGATTCCAAATCACTAGCATAGAAATCAAGAGACCCAATTTCTAATTTTCTTTGTGTGGCTAACCAGCAGGCTAAACAGATACATATATCATCACTCTCAATCTCCTCTTCATAAAACCAGAAGTATGAAACAGATAAATCTATTGAGTTTTCAAGTTCTAAATTCTACTTGAGTCTGAATTTCACTTAAATAGTATTAGTAAAGTAAAAACAAATAAACTAAATTAAAGAAATACATGATAGTATATATCTGATCATATATAATGTACAAAGATAAGTTTTTAGAATATATAGAGAACACTTATAACAATAACAGACAAACATTAAAATTTGCAAATAAAATTAACAGATATTCACTGAGAAGGGAATCAGGTTAACTGATAAACACTTGAAAAGATGTTCAATCCATTTAATAATTCGGGAAATGTAAACTAAATCATGTTAGAACATTTTACACCTGCTAGTTTGGCAAAATTAATTAGTCTGACTATGTTGCAGATATGTTAAGAGTGAGAGTCCCAAACTGTGCACAAAGGTCTTCCAGAGCGCCAGAGAACAATTACAAAGGCTCCAAAGAATTATATTAA